GTTTTTAAAAAATAAATAATATAATATAATATTTATCTCAGTAAATGTGTCCTAATTTACTTTTCTTATAATATTTCCATGATAACTTTGCTTATTTATATAATAAATATGTTTAATTTTTAAGTAAAACTTCAATCAATTAAATAATTTTATGCAGACATTTATTTAAACAATATGAATTAATTAATTAATTAACATTTAAAAAACATAATTTAACAGGGTATTACAAAAAATATTTAACATTGGTTAATTTGATAAGACAAAAGATCAGAGATAATGGAAAATTATTCTGAAAAAGTACCATTGTTAATTTAGGAAGTTTAAATTTGTTAGTGTTGTTTGTAACTTAAAAAATTGTATTGACTTTTACAAATAATCGCAAATGGTAAACTAGGTTATTCAAGAAACGAAAAACAATGGAATCAGAGAAGAATTGTAATTGATGCTATTAATTAAACAGAAAATTGGATTTAAAAAAATACTTTAAGTTTTGCAAAATATACTTAACAATTTTTTATGTATTTATATGATAACTTTGATACGTTAGGTACTGATTTGTAAGATTTTTATATTTATTTGTTTTTTTCTCCACAAGTTATAAATCATTTCTTATATTTAAAAACAAAATTTTAGAAGTTTTTATATATTTTTTAACACTGTGATAAAACATTACTATAATTAAATCATGCAAATTTAATTAACAATATCGAATAATTCTGTATTTTAGATCAATACGTAAAAATCTGTTCTCTTATTTAATGTCGAACTTGTAGACGTGTTTTAATAGATTAATTTGATTGTTTTGAAAACGAGGAAGACTTAATTAGGTTTGTTTACAAATAGATGCAATACATTTTTGCTTGAAGACGGTAAGAACTTTGATTCCATCAGATCAAAAGTATAATAAAAAAGAAGAAAATCGATGGATCGAATTGTCGATTTTAATAGCTTAGACTATAATCCTTAATCATTCGCTGTAATTTACATGCGATTTAATAAAAATTATAGTGCCCAGACAGTAACTTTCTCCATTAGTGAAATTATGCTAAATCTAATGAGTGTTAATTACTTTTCGTCAGCATTCTTCTATCAGATATGAAAGTATTTTATTTATTTATTCCTTGAAGTTGTTATATAAAAGTTTTAACTTAATTAGATAATAAAATTCGTAATACTTTAGAAAGCAATATTATATTTAATTAATTAATAAGTTAGTAATTTTTATGTTTTATTAGTCTTTTATTTACTCATCGTATGAAGATCATCATAAAACTATATGATAGGTTATTATTGAATTTAAAATCAATATAATATAAAATAACATTTTTTTTACTTATTTTACTTTTATATCCAGATATATAATTCTCATCTTCAGATATTGCATTTCTAACAATCTTCGAATAAATCATTAGAAAAGCATTGCTCTTTACATTACGTTTTCTTCACGAACGTTTTCAATATTTTTAGAAAGTATTTTATACGAAGTGTTTGCTTATTAAATATCATTTAGACGACTTGTATTCCCTCCAGCTAAGTTCCATTATGACTTTCACAATAACTTTCAAAATTCCAACTTTCATCAATTCCTTTCAGACAGATTTAATAGAAATATTTTCATCTTTATTTGATTTATTATTTTTTTAATTAAATGCTTCAATACTTTCTATTCATCATTACTTGTAATTTTAAATTTTATTATCACTACTGTATTTTGTAATCTCTTCTATTCCAGGAATCTCCCTAATTACTTAATACATTCTATTCTATTTTATAATATATTTCAAATTTTCAGTCTTAATTTTAGTATTAACTAATAAAATGATAATAGGAAAAAAAATCAGAAAAAAAATTATTAAATAATGCAAGTAACTTTTACTTTGTTGACTCATTAATTTGCATTCCAGCTTTAAAAGAAATGTAAACCTTGAAAATCTTTTTAAAAAATCTGAAAGAAAAATAAAAAAAAAAACTGTATGAATCAGCTCAACAAAATTGATGATTATTTGAATAATTAATTTTTTACAACATTTTTACGTTTTTATATAAAAAAATTCTCCGTAAAAAGAAAAAATATAATTCGAAAAACGAGCGTCATACTCAAAACCATCCAATAGAATCACTTAAAATTCTTCTTACTTCTTACCCCTTTTCCTATTGGTGTAAAGCAATTCGCGGAATTTCGTTTTTAAAGACCAATAAAGTCAGTTTTAAGTGTAGTCGAGTTACTTTCAACATGGAATATTTGATGGCCCGCGATGCAATATCTCTTTATCCATACAATTTATCCTTAGCGGAAGAAATTGTAAGGCTTTTTTCAACACCCGAACCTTCTGTAGTGGTCAAAAACAACAAATCTGGTAAATTAATTTATTTTATACTTTAAATTTAAAATATTAAACAGATAAAGTAACGTCTTAGATAATTTTTACTTACGGTAGAAGTTAATTTTATATAATTCACACATATATATTGGCTACTTTTAACTCCCTCTTCGTGAGATACTCGTGTTTCTCTCCCTCTTGCTTTTATACTTATTACATACTTAAAATTTACATTTAAAAAAAATTTGAGTATTTTGAATAAGAAAACCGACTTTCAATTGCTTTAATTAATTTTTTTTTTTAACTGCTTCAGATGACGACGCCGACGACGACTTCGCTAGAAATGGTAAAGACGTGGAGTACTGTCCGGAAGAAAGCGTGAATAATAATAAGAAAAAGAAGAAAAAACTTAGTAGAGAATGTGGATTCTGTAAGAACAACGGTGAAGATGCTCAATATTATAGAAGTCATTGTCTGAGAGACGAAAGGGGTAAAGTACTGTGTCCGGTGTTGAGAGCGTACAAATGCCCTATCTGTAATAACGAGGGAGGAGATCTCGCTCACACGATTGGATATTGTCCAATGAATAAATCGCCTGAGAAAATTCCAGTGGTTATATCATTAAAAACGCAAAGAACTTCCGCGGGAAAAAAGAAAAATTAAAATTTTAAAACTTTCTTTTTTTTTAAAAAAAAAAAGTTAATTTTTGTGTAATTATTATTTTGTTATATGTGCTTTTGAAAATATGAAATTTTGATTTGATTTGTATTTTCTTTTTCTTTATTTTACTTGAAATAAAAGTATGTTATTAATATGTGTTTAATATGTTTTTATTACATGAATTTTTAAACTGTGGTGATCTTTAGTCAATATTGGGATGAATAGTTTCGGAAAATATTTGTTATTCGTGCCATAAAAAATACTAATAAAATTACTAATTTATAAGTTGAAAATTGTACCATTCACTTTGCTTTTAGTACGTGAACGTTTATTAAATGATGAGCATTGATGTTTGGTGGTGAAAGGTCGAGAGGGATGGGACTTAATGAAGATTATCTTTTGTTATTAACATTAAGTTTAAAGCTCAACAGCCGAGAAAGTTACGCAACTCTCGTTGCTAGATTTTTTTATGCATTATTGTGTGGCACCAAGTTGCAAAAGTAAATATCTTCGGATGTTACATTATTTAGATTTCCTGCAGAAAAGCAAGATGGGGTGTAGAACTGCAGACGGGATGACAGCGAACTGAACATTCTAAACTGGGTACGATCGCTGATGCGAATGACCTTAACAGCCGTAGAGCAGGTCCCTTAGGAGTAAAAAAGTTAAAGGAACCATATCTCTGCATGCGATCCCACGTGAGATAAATCAGCAGCAAGCGATCGGGAGTCGCGACGAGTACCGCGCGCTCCGCTAAAATTATCGCGTTTAATTAACTATTTAGCCCACGCGACTGTGTCGGTTTTAAGTAGCCCACTTGACTGTTCGTGGAGTACTTGATATAATTTTACGGGGTGCGGAGGCTCATCGCCACGCGGCCGCTGAGATGCGAGCATCGAAGCGCACGACTACAAGGGGAGCGTCGGTCAACGCGCGCTATCGCTTGCCTTAACCGATGCGGAGCATGGAGAATAGGCAGTAATACTGGTTCAATGTAAATGCCGTTTTTGGTCAATAGAAGTTAATGCATTTATTTCTTACAGGCACTGATCGCCGTAAGTATAAATTGCTTGAAAGCTTGACTTAGTAGCGCAGAACATGAGAATAATTTATGTCACAGGCCCCTGCACGCTTGCTTAATTAAAGCTTGAGAACCAAATACTTACAAAGTAACTCGGCACCAGTGCCGACCCGAGGCAAGTTTTAAGATGGAGCGAGATCCTTTTATGGCGCCCCCTTGGTTGCCCCTAATTTATACCCTTTAATTTTCTTTACCACTGAGGTGCCCACTGGGATTTAGCGCCTGGAGCGGCTGCTCCGTTCGCCCTATGGTAGGGCCGGCTCTGCTCGGCACCACAGGGAAGCAAAACTTACACAACCCTTCAAATTTTCGACAGTACGTGGTGCGCGCCCTTTATCCTTTTTTAACCGAATAAAATGTAAAATATGCTAATTTCAATGTGTTCTACAACATTGAAACTGTAATTGCAATAAGAGCCGAGATAATTTTACCCCTTTTGATGTACTACAAGGAATTTACAGATGAACCAATGAATGCCCATACTCGATAACGTATGAAAACAAGCATAGTTTACAGAAATCTAACAGTTCTAAGTTAAACATAAAGTCTAGACACGCATCGCAGTAGTCGCCACGTTGGATCCTTTTGAGATTGTGTGCGGTGTTTCTACAGCGAAGCTAATTGTTTCTTTCAATCTTAATTAGTTGGATTTCTTGTTATATATTAAAATGGTTTGGTATTCAGCACCAAATTGTAAAAATTCGACAGCCAAAGGTGTTTTCCCGCTGATAAATTCGGGAAAGTTAAATGGCATCAATATTGCGGAGAGATAGATGGAAACCAACTGAGAAGTTGAGGCTGTGTGAAGCTAATGGATAAAATAATGTTGAAAATATAAATTTACACGAAGCGTTTAAAATAACTTTTGTTATGTAATAAAACTAAATTTTTTAGATACAATTTGAGCGAATGGAAAAAAATTATTGAAATGGAATGCTATTCCGACCCTTTTTGATGTTACAAATCCTCCACCCCGTCTGAAATTAAGAAGAAAAACACCAAAAGAAAGAGAATTACCTTCAAATAAGTAAACCTTTGGTTTAACAAATGTTTTTAGGACATTAAATATTGCTTTTACAGATTTAAAAATATATACAGTATTTATCACAAGAACCACACGATATTATCATAATAAATATTCATTAATCATTTATTTTTTGAAAACATCTTTATTAATTATTGTGAAGATTTCTGCTGTGTGAGATTTATAATATTACATATAATAAATAATTACTTGCTTAGAAGATTACAGAAAATGATTATCCTCTTCTAGTTAATTAATATTTTCTTTTAGCATTAACAACAACCAACAGTTTTAGTGAAATTGGAAAATATAGTATCAAGTTACTAATAGAGATTTCTAATGAGTAATTGTTGTATGCTTTTTAACCAATTCCTATTAAATTCGGCAGTTTAATAACAAATACTTCCAACTTAGATAATGTCTTACATCCCACCTCAAATTAACGATTGGATTTCTATGTTTCGATTAATTTCTGTATATATTTGATTGCTGTCGTTACATGTAAATGTAGCACCATCTATTTAACAAAATAATTAACTAAATATAATTATATTATATTCACTGAATTACTGCCACGATGATATAGCGCGAAACGGATGCTCCATTACGTTATTAATATAAGACCTCCCCCCGAAAATAAGACCTAGCAAAGTTTTTTTTTACTCGTAACGGTCATCCATAGATGGTTGAAAGTGGCCGTTGGCGTTTTGAACGTACATCCACTGATTGGTCAGCAGACAATCAAGCCACACGGCATAATTTGCATAAGACTATGGCTTGGGAATCACAGATTTGCACAACGTTACGGCTGGTGATCGCTAATTGGTGGGCCGGAAATCACGCTGCATAATGTTACGGTTCTTTTTTAATACTCTTTCCGCCTTGTGGTCACTAAGAGGGCCTCTTATGGATTCGGCCGGGCCCACAATGGGGCGACCGGGTGGTGAGGGAGGGGGCCCGACATATCCGAACGGATCCTTGATCCGTCCGGATTCGATCCCGGGTCCCCCAGAACTGTAAGCTGCCGCCTTGACCGCTCGGCCATCCGGGCTTGATGCTACGGTTCAGTAAGCACTAATTGGTCATCGAACCCGATGTCGATTCTATAAAAAGGTTAAGTTGAAGCGAGAGTGGGAAGTCCACTCCAGCACGGGAAAACAATAAATGTGAACTCTTCTTCACGACATTCCCTGAATATAAGATCTAGCGCATCTTTGAGAGCAAAAATTAATATAAGACACTGTCTTATTTTCGAGGAAACACGGTAGGAAGATAATGGGGGTCGTGTGTATCTCCGGTAGGTTCAGACTTAATTAAGATTTTACTCGTTACATTTACAATTTTTTTAGAACTCATCCCTACCCTCAAAATTAAGGTTTTCCCTATTTTATAACAGTTAAAAATATAAAAATTTTTAAAAAATATATTGATTTGATAAGATGACGCAACCAAAATTTTTGTTGCCGGTTTATTTTCAGGAGACGAAAAACATTCCTCGTCGCTAATCTCTTCATTCTCACTGTCAATGTGATTTATACATTTTTGTAAATTTGAGTAAAATCAGGCCTTAAATATACCTATAAGTAAAGAATTGGTGCCCGATAGAAAAATTCTAATTTACGATCTGTATTTCTCATACCAAAGTGCTTCAAAAACACTTATTTCCATTTAAGAAAAAAATCCTTTTTTTTTTTAATTAGCGAAATGTGACTTGACGTATATAATTTTTTAATTAAAGGAAAAATATTTCATTATTTTTAAAATGTGAAAAATTTTCTATTTTGAAAACATTTGATGCCAAAAAATATTTTAAATCTGTTTATTGTGGCTTTTTAAGATTAAAAGTCATATCTGATTATTGAAAATTTCAAAATTTATAACTTAAATATCATTAAAATACTAAATTTAGATTAAAGTTTTTGCATTGTCATAACAGCAATTAATTAATTGTTTAAGAATGAATTAGTTTTTCATTGTTTTAGCACTTCTTCGAATGACAAGAAGAAAATATCCAGTGCAATGAAGATAAAGAAACGAAATTTAGCACGGTAGCTCGTATTGATGCTGTATATTTTGGTTGTGAAAGGTCAAGGGAAGGAGATAGAGGGTGATCACGTGTCATATCTTGCAAGGGATCGGACTTAATGAAGATTTTACTCAGCTCTATCCTCAACATTAAATCTATTGCTTTTTTATAATTAACCTCCCAATTACGAGGCCCACCGGTGGCCGAGTGGATAAAACTACCGAACACTGCTAGTCGGTGGAGGTTTGGGGCCTGCTGAAAGGGCCGGTCACGTGGTATTTCCGGGTTTTCTTCACGTTAGTAATTTGTATCCCGTAATCCTCGGTCGCGAATACCGAGTAACTCGGAGATAAAATTCGAGTCTGGTGGCAGCATCTCCCGGAAGCGGATGTGGGTCAAAGTTCGACCGACTCGACCGTAAATTGTATTGAGGTTCGGGGTTCGATTTCTCGGCGTTGTTACGAACGTAACGCGCGTCATTCGTTATTATTGTAGGCCAGCAACTTTGATACAGACGTATCGGAAGTCCCTAATCAAAGACAAAAACCTGATAGTCGATCGGTTTAAAAATAATTTTATTACAAAAGATGGAAATAAAGGATCCAATTAAATAATAATAATAATAAAAACATTTACAACATTTTACATTTAACGTGTTTCCAACGCAAAATTGTTAAATAAAAAAGACGACGAAAATGATGATTAAAAGTGTGGACTCTCGGTTAACCGGGGTGCCCGAACGGATCGATTTCGGCGTTGACCAGAAAACCGGATCCGGAAAATCGAAATAAGCAATGTCCGTTTCGTCGGAAACGTCGTCCCGTTCTTCGTCGATGATGTCGTCCCTGTTTCCGCTTCCTCCCGAATTCAATTCGAATTCTACAATAGACAAGTTCGATATTTGTAGTGTAATTTACTGCCATAGTTCACGAATTACGTTTTAAAAAATAAACTTTGACTCTGTTATAGGCGTAACCTGCAACAGTTTTTCCTCCTGGAACCATTTTACTTGAAGTCTTGGCCACAGATAAAGTGTGGCCAATTCTTTTAATTATTAAATTGTGCCATTTCGTCGCCCTGTACACTGAGAGAGTAAATAAATAAACCGAGACGGGAACTTGCATTGTCAATAAAAAAGTTATAAACGGGAAAGTACGTAAATATACAAAATTGGCATAGAGCATTGCTGCAGAAATTTACAAAAATATGTTAACAATGTTTAGAAATTCGACTGAATGAAAGATAATATAAAAATCTTTCCAAATTCTTTTTGGAAAGAAATTAGCAAGACCCAGCTTTTGATCCAGACAAGAGATTACTCCTATTTGGGAGTTTACCAACACCTACACCACCTCTAGTCTAGAAGCTTAATTACTTGTAATCCAATTCTGCAGCTGAGGGATTTATTTTTCCATTTTATACCTGAATTTATATTTCTTTCCTATAGTATTTCCTTCTTATCCAGTACTAAATATGGCATGCAATTATTAAATTGTGTAGTGATTTGTCTTATTTTTGCACGCCAAGTTACATACCAATTGCACAGAACCACACAAAATGACAGAAGCACCATTCCTAAACAAATACACCCACCGAGAAGAGTTGTAACCTCATTCCAGTATTTCTCATCCGTAATACACTTTACTTTTTCTTGGTGTTAGAAAAATGACTGTTTTTTGGTGAAGAAACAAGTGTTTGGGAGATCAAACCAAAACATTTATACATTTAGAGCAATGCAGAAAAATTTTCAAATTTGAGCATTGTTATAGAGAAGTGTAAATAACTTAGACTAATTTGGAAAACGAAAAGCAAAGTAATTAAAATAATTACTTGTTTAAATATTCTGTTCATTAATTGTCTCGATATAACAAATATGAAACTAACCGATTCCTTTACTGGGCTGTTAAAGATTAAATAATTAAGCAACTTGGCAGGATATGGGCCGCTGAGCTACCGTCTCTTGTTAGATGTAGTAATTATAGATAAATAAATTTTAGAATATTCCGAAAAAAAGATTGGCCCGGAATGGGACTCAAACCCATGACACCCAACATAACAAATAACATACTTATATTTAGCTTTGCATTTGTGAATGTGCGTGCATAAAATATTTTGTTTTCCATATTATCTTCTAATGTCTATAAAATTTTAGTATAAAGGTGGCTCCACACATTTGGTGTGGAGCTGCCTTTATAATAAAATTTTATATTTGTGATTAAGCTTTTTGTAAAGAAGAATTTATTGCAATTTCCATGTAAAATTATTTTACTATCCAAATAATTCTAACAAATATATGCTATTTATAATCTACGATAATTTAATTTCTTAGTAATGACAATTTGCTAAAATAAAATTTATTTTACTAAAAAATTATTTGATATGAGTAAATTATGCAAGTGCACATATTGGTTTCTGTTAAAAATACTTTGCTTTTATATAAATTTGGAATTTATTAACAATTTAGAAAAATATATATTTAAATATTTACCCGAATCTTCCCAGTTAATATCCAGTCCATTGAATGCCTGTTTCATTTTAGTGGATATTAATTTCAGTCGTATGATCTGACGGTTGACGATATTATCCTGCCGAGACATATTAACGGATATCTCAGGCCTGTATTTGGGTTCCACAATTTCGTCCATATTCAAGCCACCCTCGTATCTATCAAAAATAGTTATGAGCTTTTCTTTAATACTCTTTCTCAGAAATAAAGAGAAATTTTTAGAAATCGAAAGTCCACCAACCTCGCTTTTTCCAATCCGTTCCAACAGCTTTTCCTTTGGTGCGTGTAATTTACTGCCCTGTAACTTTTGCACATCTTCTGCGGTAATTCTATCCAAAATTTTCTGTGCTGTTTAACTCTCTTCTTAATGACTTGTATTAAATAATCCAAATTATTTTTATTTGCTTGGGAAGTGTGGGTTTTATTATCTTGATTAATTAGTTTTATAGTTTTAAATTTGAGATTTTCTTCTGTGCTCCGTTTTTTTAATTTCGGTTTTCCGCAATGTTCGAATAACTATAAAAAACTTTTTTAATTGTATAATGATAATAAATCTCTTTGTTCAATTAGAAATGTATTATATCAAATGTCTTAAAAATAATTTTAATATATACATAAATAAAACCAAAAATGACAATATAATAATGACTACTTCAAAAACTTGATTAATAACACTATTTGTTATAATGATCAAAATGTATCAGGCATAATAAGAATTATTTTGATAATTTTAATTCAAATTTCAGACTTTCAACAATTTCTACATCATTTGCCATTGTATCCATTAATATTTCACAAGTGATGTATTCCACCAGAGTGGAAGTTCACAGTCATTTTCAAGATAGTATATATGATAAATATAACATCTTAAATTTAGGTTAATTTTTGGATAAATTTTTGTTTTCTTTATTAATCAAATCAATTCAAAGAATGAATGTGTATAAATATTACCTAACACAAACCTGTTTATGACCATTTTTTCATTATTTGCCATTTTAATAGTTTTAAAAATGATAATACATATCATTGAAAGCAAAAACACTTTGGCTCACACAAATCTCAGAGACATCATTAAAAAAGATTACCCACTTTTATTATAGACCAAAATCTTGAATTGTTAATTAAATATTCAGATTAGGATCAATATCATGATAATAAATGCATCAGCTTTCTGTTTTGAGCATCCCAAGCTCCAGTTGAATCCTCAGGAAATTTCACAAATAACCCAGTTCAGATACATTTGGCTCTATCCCTTGCCATCCAAGCCATGTTAAAGAACCCTCTTATTATTTGTACAATGAAAAACAATTTGAAAATCCAATAATTAATTTAATTATCTAATAATAATTCAACATGATATCCCGGTGCAGTAAAGTTTAAGAATACCACCACTGTATAAACTTAGATACAGTGAACTAATTTCCCCCAGTGAAAAACCAGATATTGTTTAAAACACTTACACCTTTTTGATATTGTAATTGAGCCATTAAAAAAAAAAAAAATGTGAATAAATACAAGCTGTTCATGAAGTCTAGAAAATAGGAATTGTGTTGATCTCTATTCCTTTACACAAGAAGCATGGAAAGGCAAAACAAAAAGTTATTTTGCTTATTATTGTGAGATCCGGAATTTTGGTGACGAAATCATCGCTCTTTAATTAACAAAATTGTTAATTAATTAAACTTTTGTTTATGCAACGCCTTAGAAGAAAAAACGATCTTGTTCGGGATTGTGTAAACTTCCCGGTCATAACTGGCAACATCTATTGTTCTCTGCAGAACTTGCATCTCATTTTGCAAAAAGGTTGATAGTTAGCATCTAAATGTCGTCATTTGTTGTAGATCCCAGGAACACTTATAACCTTTAACCTATGTACATCCAATCACGTGGTGGAAATTCCCCACTAAAACGGATATAAGGCCGTTCTTACCCCCTCTCAGGGGAGTCTACGAACAAACGCTGGATAGACGACATCGTGCCGATCTTCCGAACCTGCGGAATTCCGATCTCCGATGAACCTCGAATTAAATCATCGCTAAAGTCGTGATATATATGATTTGTGCCAAAACTGGATTATAACCCTTGGATCGTTCAGAATCGCCAAAGGGGACGGCTACATAGAGGTATGAAAGCACGGTGAAACTCTCTCTAAGTCGGTATAGAAACTTTGTGTCTTTAGGTCGTATAGAAACGAGCTTTGTGTAGTTTTTGTCATTTTGCCTATTCTTAATAAATTGTTATTTTATATTTGTTAAAAAAATGGTAGACTCTTTTACTCGATCTCGCCCTTCACCTTATCGTCGACCCCAATCACCTCTCTTTCCACTCGCCTGGCATATCATCCTGACCATTGAACAACAGCCTTACGCCCCGTATTCACATTATTATTATTATTGCTGGGCAACCACAAGTCAATGTGCTGCTTGGTGGGAACATCAGGAGTTTAAGCAAAAACCTTTTCTAATTTATCATTCTGACAATGTTCACATTCTTGAGGGACCAATATACAAGGTCTGTTCAAAAAGTATCGGACCTTATTTTTTTCCGCGTAAACCAATGATGTGAGAGAGGCCTCCTTCGGTGGAGTTGTGGAGGGGACAGTCATGCACAGCCCTGAATTTTTTCCCGCCTGCGGGAGGCGTCAGTCGTTGGCAATCGGCGTATGAGTGAGGTCATGTAGTGCGCTCTCGTCGGATTTCACTAAGCTGGAAAATGACTGAACAACGTGAGCAGCGATATTACATCAAATTTTGCCAAAAACCTTGGCGATACCCGAGTGTAAACCATTCGCAAGATTCAGCAGGCTTTCGGGGACGATCCTCGAGGCCAAAAAAAGCGCGGCAGGTCCGCAGCAATATCAAAGGTCATGTTGACAGTTTTTTCGACTCTCGTGGGGTGGTGTGTCGTGAGTACGCACCACAAGGCCAAACCATCGCAAAGGAGTACTACCAGGAGGTCCTTCGTCGTCTTTCCGATACAGTGCGATGCAAACGATGGGATCTGTGGTCGATCAAAACTTGGCAGCTCCATCGTGATAACGCATCCGCCCATTCTGCGCATCTGATTCGGGCTTTCGTCGCCAAACACAATACTCCTGTGGTTCGTCACGCTCCGTACTCTCTCCACATGGCTCCGTGTGACCTTTGGCTATTTCTCAAGCTGAAAATGCCGCTAAAAGGAACCCAAATTTTGTCGAGAGAAGACATCATGCGAAATGCGACGGACCGGCTGATAACCATTCCAAAAGATGCGTTCCAGCAGTGTTTCCAGCAATGGCAGGAACGCTGGGAGAAGTGTATACATTACCAAGGAGACTACTTTGAAGGGGATTAGGGTTTTGTACCTCAAAGTCAATAAATTTATTTTTTCCGTTCAAAGGTCCGATACTTTTTGAACAGACCTTGTACATTCAAGAATATGAACAAATATATGCTGCCCATCTATTTCCATTCCAACTTTAAAGTATGGCATCATTTGAAGACTGATTCTTAAATTGATTTACATCTCAAAATCCATGAATATTACTTAGAGGAAAATTCCTTTCAAAATTTATTGCTTTAGATAATGCACTTAAACATCCACTTCGTTTAGACAATTTTCATCTTCCATCTTGATGAGAAAGTAATTTATTTGCTGCCAAATATAATTCCATTCATTCAGTCCATGGACCTAGGTTTGATTACCACACTTAAAGTGAATTATCTCCAAACCACCTTTCCAAAAGCAATAGCCACAACAAATGCCAACCTAGAACTATCATTGTAAGAATTTTGGAAAGAGTACAATATTTTTAAATGTATCAAAAGCATTGATAATGCATGGAAAGTAATTTTTCACTAAGAGGTTATTGGAAGGATTTTCTCAACTAAATAAACTTCTCACACATTTTGGAGGAATACACCTGAACATCAAACAATACATAAAGGTGCTTTTTGTCCATATCTGAAAAACCCACTGTAAGGAACCAAGTCCGAGCGTTATTTTTATTTTGCTTTTCTTTTGCTTTTATTATATTTTGTTTGGGGCTTATGTTTAGTTAGGACGAAGGTTTCCTCACCCATCACCTTGAAAAGTTAAAAAAAAAAAAAAAAAAAAAAAAAAAAAAAAAAAAAAAAAAAAAAAAAAAAAAAAAAAAAAATTTTTTTTTTTAAAAAAAAAAAAAAAAGAAAAGATAAAACCAACTCACCAATGACGCAAAGAAAGCGCCATAGCTAGCAATTGCACTCACGTGCACGCCTGAGCGGCAGATAGTAAGCCCGCACTGAAAGGGAGGGAAAGACCCCACAGACTTTTAGGAGACTTGTTAAACCTTAAAGGAAACATCCCGACAATTGTTCACGAAAAGACTGTAAAAGGTTAACAAAGTATTGTCGGGAATTAAGCTACCAGATAAACAAGAAAAAAGTGAATGTTACGTATAAGTATGTAANGGGAAAGACCCCACAGACTTTTAGGAGACTTGTTAAACCTTAAAGGAAACATCCCGACAATTGTTCACGAAAAGACTGTAAAAGGTTAACAAAGTATTGTCGGGAATTAAGCTACCAGATAAACAAGAAAAAAGTGAATGTTACGTATAAGTATGTAAATGAGGGTAGTGTCTCACTTAGAAACTGTGACGTCACCTCAGACTATAAATAGCGTAGCTCAAGTGAAGAAAGGGGAGGTGAGCTCTTGAAAGGATTAAGCGTAGTCTGCTGGTAGCAGTGAACGAGGTGTCCAATAGGAAATAGTCCAAAGCGTTTGCAGTTTTCGATTTGTGGATTGAGGAATAGGAAAGTCTTGAGTTGGAAAAAGGTTCCTAGTATAATTGAGGTGACGGTTAGGATTTATAGTCGTAAGAAATTCTGTACCTTAAGTTAAGGATTGATTTTTGTCGGAATTCCAAGGGGAATAGTTCTAAGTTAGAATAAGATCGAATTTTGTCGGGTTGACTTTTGGATTTTATTTGTTTGAATAAATTTGTTGTTTTGTTATAAATATTGTAAATAGTTATTCCTAGATCGTTATTAAATACTTTTATTGATTTTGACTAACTTGTCTTTAATTTTATTTTGGTGCACGCGAAAAGTCCAGGCCTGGCAAACTAACAAATGCGAACCTGCGTAAATTACCCTTTAGGAACTGGCTCTTTCCGGAACGAAATTCATTGTAGAGCGATAAGCTAAAAATAGTACTTTACACCACTAGCTATCTCAAGTGCTGCTCTTGATGACAATATCAAAGATCCATAGACAAGCATGAGCAGTCATTAAAAGATTTTCTATTTTGTATGTTTTACAAATATTAAACCAATTAAAGTGTGCACAGGATTTGGATTAAATCTATAAAATGTAAAAAATGATAAAAAACAGTTAAAATCTACACAATGTTCAAAAAAATAATATAAAGGTTGTAAAATTGGTTAACTAAAAAAGTGCTTGAATATTTATACAATGAGTAGAGAAATGATTAAAAAAAATACATAAAATGCAAAGAAAACAGTAAAAATATAAAAAAACATCCAGCTTACGACTGGTCAGTCAGAAGCTAACATTATTTTAAGTCAACCACCCATAAGCCAAAATATCAACTCATATAATAAATCATACTATATTACATTAAAAATCTAATCTTAATTTTTTCAAAAGTTATTTAATTATTATTCACATATTTATGTATAAAAAAATTCTCTTTGAAATCTAATATCATTACCATTTTTTACAATATCTATAATTCCTATAATAATACATTATTTTTAACTTATAAAAAATTATGCAGGATGTACCAAAAGTTCCTTTACTTGATCTGTCAAATTTTTTATTTATTTATAAAACATGACCTGCACACAAAGTGTATATGAACAAAGCCCATATACACACCATCAGCTAAAATCAAAAATTTTAAAGTTGATGCTGGGAGTGTTCTGGAGATGGAGATCACTTGACGACATACGTTCCTACTTGTGCATCATAATATTGTTGGCACAATATCCACTATGCTTGCTGAAATTTTGTGTTTAAAGTCATCCAAATTGCAGAAATTATTTACATAAACTGTATCTTTTAGACAGCCTCATAAAAAAGATATACAGTAAAGTTAAGTCTGGGGACTGAAATGGCCAAAAATGATGCAGTGATCAAAAAACCGATTCAGGATGCACAAAGGTTTCAAATGAGTTCATGAAAAGTAAAATTACTTAGTGTTATATCGTTTGGAAATTTTTCTTCAAAATCTTCATGTATTGTTAGTAAGATCTTGTGTCAAAATAAGCTTTTCAAATGCATAACTTTCTGTTTTGGACTATACTTGACATAGTCATATTTTTCACTTTACAGTGAATGATATATAGTACCCACCTAAAACACTTTGAAGATCATCACATTTAAATCAGTGATGCTCTCTTCGGTCACTTTTTTCAACATGTCAGGAAATAATTTTCAAAACTTGAATTAAAGAACTTTTGGTACACTCCGTATAACATAATAACTTACCGTTCGAGAAACAACTGCTCCATTTTCTTGAAAATTCATAATAGCATCTGATATTTTGATGTCTATCGGATCAACCACCGATTCTATGTTAAATGAATTCTCCAGACGTGTCGCCAGCATTAATAACAATTCTAAAGATTAATTTAAATTATATATTAGCACTTCTTAAATGAAAATAATTACAAATTCACAATTGTATAATTTTTTATTCACAGAAAATTACTGTTAAAATAATAATCTCTTAGGAAATGTAATGAATCAATAAGTAACTTATATTAAAAAAAAAAAATTAGTAATAAAATTTATTATTGATATTTATAATTGAAAACATTTTAATTTTCCAATTATCTGTTTCAGCTTCCAGAAAATAAATACAAAATTAAATGGTGATAAATATTAATACAAGAATGATTCAACTTCTGTCCAGAATTTCAATAAGGGAGATGGAACTGTATGTGTAATATACACAAAGTCAGATAGTATGTCATGCAGTGGCTTGGACACCAGCCAAAAGACATCAAAATGATAGGAAAAATGTTAGTGTGTAGAAAGGAATACATAAAGTAAAAAAGTTAATTGATTCTATGTAACAAAGATAGTTCCATTGGCATTATCAAAATTCTAAACACTTTTATAAAAATGAGAACAGAACAACAATTTTGTTACTAGCAATTCATTATAGTAAGAGAAATATTTAACAATTGATGTAACTGTTGTGGTTTGGTAAATAACTACATCTATTAACCATTGGCTAGGTATACTTTAAATCAAGTTAAGCAATATTACAGACTGTCTATCTGAGAAAAAGTAAATATAAAATCTTTATGAATTCATTTTTATATCAGTAAATTAAAATAATATGTATACACATCAATTATTCATTAATAAATATTAACATTGTAAACAGTAAGTGAAAAACATTAATGTCAAAGAAAAATGTGAATTAATTTTAATTTTATAAAATCTAACAACATAAGACAGACAATCTCTTCAGTTGAACAAGTCTTATGTTTAGCAGATTTCTTTTGGCTAGATTTTTTTCATATTGTGGCAGTATGCCTTGCATTTTTTTCCTTAATGTGTTTTTTTTGTCTACCGCATGTATTTATGGTCTTGGAATAGCTTGTCTATTCCTGTTTCTTTGTGTAATTTTAACTCTGAAGTTGGCTCCCCTTCCTGTCCAATTGGAGGGGATCAGTCAAATGAGTTTTGGAAATAGTCCCAGGAAGTGGAGGAAGGAGGAGAACTTTACTTTTGGACAAGAGATGAGCCAGATCAAAGATGAGTTCCCTCTCTTAGAAAGAGAAAACTTCAATTGGCTAAAGAAGAAGGTGTCGAAGGAAAGCACATGGTGTTAAGGTCTTCAGAGCCATAACCGACACATGGAGGATGAAGACAAAGGATCATCATTGAGAACTAGATAAGTAAACAAAAAGGAGATTCTATCTTTCTGTTTGGTATTTGAGATTTCAATTTGTGTTTTTTGGTGCCAATTCTTCTCCAGCTAGAGGACATTTCTACCTGTTGTCATCCAGGACTGTTCTCATGGTATTGTCTAAGTTGCCATTTCCTGGTACCAGTTGATTTTGTACTAGCTTTAGTTTTGGTAATGATTTTTAATTTTGGTCTAATATTAATACATAGGATAAGATAAAGTATATTAATATTATGGTTGCATATTGTTGGTTTTGAGTTTGTTATTCACAATTATTAATCATAGTCCAAGACAAGTTTGTTGGAGTGCATTATTGTTCAGTTGAAATTCCCGTCAGCTGGTATCCAGGTCTTGTGGAGTATTTCTGTATGTGTTTAGTTGTTCTTAATAAATTTTTTGTATTTTGTTTATAAGGGTATATTATTTCTGTCCATGACCCATTATGAACCAACTTAACATCTCACAATATTAACTGGACCAGGGGTTCTTGGAAAACATTTTTCTGTGGCTATAGAAAAATGACTTGTAGTCACACTATAGGAATACATAATAATAATCTCTTGCAATAGTTTCCACATTTACTTCACATTTAAGATATTACTATTCTGGATGAAATTCAGTTTAAAACTGTCCAAAATGACAATTTTAATGATATTCATAAGATATTTCATCAGAAAGTTATAAACTGGCTGTGCAAATTGGAGAATCATGCAGAATTGAGTTGGCAGTCACATTTGAGAATCTCTGATCTACACTATTAAAGTGAAACACTTTGAGGCAATAAAAAAATGTGACACATTGGAGCATGGAGTCAATATTGCAAAAATTTGTTAGACTGACTTCATGCTTTGTAACTGGAGGGTAATTCAATTTCCTCAAAGACACTTGTCATATGTCATTGTCAAGAAGATAAGGTTCTTTCATTGTGAGTTGAACAAGAGATCTCAATAAGTCCAATGTTTATATCCAAAGTTAAGGAGATGATACTTCTATTTGTGTTGCAAAATTTCCTATACTTTCTTCACCTAGATCTGACTTTTGTCCGCAACTGGTAAAATTGCATTATTCCAAATATAAACAAAAATAAATATATATTAAGTGCATTAAATGAAAAACACAAGTTTTATTATAAATATAATAATAATTTTCAATAGCCTACCTACATATTCATTCCAGCTTAAATGTATTTCCATGTGATAAGTAAGACAACCTTTCATTACATGCAAACAATAATTACCACAAGGTTTTAAATATGGAAGTCCTTGACAATGAGAACAGTGGGTCATTTTCATTAAAGCTTTACTGCATTCGAGAGCTAATTCTGCCTGAAAAAGTATCAAAAATGTAAATGCAATTGATATAAATGTATAAAATATAATTTTTTTTATATTTTGGAAAATATTTATGTTTCAATATTCACTATTATTTGATGCAAAAATTTTGACTTTAATATCTTATTTAATTTGCAGTTGTGGACAGGATACGTTTCTCTTCTTCTTTGATATAAGCTTCTAATCTGTATTATCAATTAATTAGTAATAAATAATGTGAGATTCTGGAGACAGGGAACAAATTTATTAAATAATGCAAAAACTAAATTATTATTTTGTTCGTTAAAAATGACACATTTTTCTACGTTGGTGAGAAAAGATGAGAAAAAGGAAAGCTCCCTTTTTCCACTATTGACTTTCCAGGATGAGATCTTATCACCCATTTTCATGAACATCTGTCAACTTAAGTCATGATGAATATCCTGTCATATGGATAAAAAGTGGCCACCTGATTGAAAGGTGTTGCAAGATAAAAGAAACATAGATGTGAATCTCAGGAAGACACTCTCCTAGAAGCTAGTAGGCCAAGCCCTTGTATGTCTTGTCAACACTCAATGCTCATCACCTATCACTGAAAGATCCATCAAATGGAAAGAGGTATTATGCTTGAACCAATTTATGTAAACTCTCTCTCTCTCAGTCGATGTAGATATAAGTAGCTAGTTTGTTGAACTAGATATATTTAATGCTTTGTAATCCAGCCTTACTTTATTTTTGTTTATTAAACTTTTTGATGTTTGTTAACCTGTCTATTGACCTGTCATTCTTCGGAAATTGGACCCCTATTGACTTATTCACAACTCTCTTCACTCGATCCTCGAACCCCTCCTATGAGATGTGTAATTAAGCATCATTCTAATAGTGAGTTAAGATGTGAATAATTATCTTAACTGGTGTCATGTCCTGACAGGAGATGAAAATTTCCCAATTTCCTATCTCCAATAACTTACATAGCCATCCACTGACACAGTGAGCAGGCCTAGCCGTCCCAATGCTGCAAGAAGGGTTGACGGTTTTAACCTGTAACTCCCGGCTTCTCAAAATAACTATGTAGGCCAAAATAACTCATTGGCCTTATTGTTATGAGTACATATTCATCACACACCCTATTTTTATTCATTAATGTATGATGTCCCAGAATGCACTTTGGCTTATTCGACAGCCCTTTACAGTCAAAGTCATATATACTTTCAATATCAAGGTATTGTAATTAAAACACATATAAAAGAATCTAATAAATAAAAATACAATATTTATATAAACTGACAATTACTATATAACTAACCACATACAGCATTATTGAATGCCATATGGCAGTTGCAATTGTATTTCTTTCCTTCTACATGTGTTTAAATACCATATTTTGTTTTTAAATTTAAAAAATATAGTAGTATTACTATTTATTACTAATTAATTGATAATACAGATTATAAGCTTATATCAAATAATTATACTTATAGTGCCTGTATCTACCTTTGAAGGAAAAATTAATGCAAAGAATTTTAAATTTAAAAACAGACATATGGTATTTAAATACAAGTACAAGGGAAGGAATACAATTGCAACTGCAGTATAGCCTTCAATAATGTTGTATGTGGTTAGTTATATAGTAATTGTCAGTTTATATCAATATTGTATTTCTATTTATTAGATTCTTTTACGTGTTTTACCATGATGTCGAAAGTATATATGTAATTATATATGTAACCCGGCTGAAGAGGACTTGAATAAGCCAAAATGCATTCTGGGACATCATGCATTAATGAATAAAAATTGAAAAGGTGTGTGATGGATTTGTACTCATAACAATAAGGCCAATATTTTATAGTTATTTGTTACTAATTCTCTTCTTCTGTTCTACATCTTTTGAATTATGTCTTCTTTAATTTCTTATCAATATCTTTTAACTAAGATACTTTAGAGACTTAAATGGTTTGCATACCATTAATTTGATATTCTGTTTGTCTAACTAGTAAAACAAATTTTTCATTTAAATTTAAAAGTTCAATAAAAGAGTGAATAAATTTTTAAGTATTTGGATATTTATTAACCAATATTTTTGCTAAATACAGCAATAAGTAACAATATCCAATTATCCATTATATTAAAAGAAAATTTTGATAATTTGAATATTTACTTTTAACATGTTCTTTGCTACTTCATGTCCTATTCTTAATGCTTGAACAAAGGCTCGAATTGCAATGAAAGATTTCTTGATTTCTACAGTTAATTTGTCTGGAATGTCTCCGAAAGGTTTCATATCATCCATATACGCACCAATACATTTTAGATATGACTCGCTAAACTGATATTGACTATTTAACACCTAAAATTAAAAATAAACATTTTAGCAATTATAAGATTTAATAATTAAACTTTTTTCTAAATAACTTATATGATAGTGAAATATTACCAAGAAATCTAGTGATGTAATTTCACAAGAAATAATCTGAGATTTTTATTTAAAATCCTAATAAAAATTATTCCTTAATGCTGTAATTAATGTATTTTAAATTTTAAAATTCTAATTTACCATGCTAGAATCCCTAGTTTATCTAGCATAGTTGTACAGTCCTTTGATAGCTTAATGTTCTGAACTGAAGCTGAATACATCTTACACTCTATCACTTTAAGTTCAGATGTACTAGTTTCTTCATTAATTGTAAATAATTTTTGGTTAGCATCACCAATGTAATACAATTTTATAAATTTTAGCATTACATTGGAGATGCAAGCCAAAAATTATTTAAAGTTAACGAGGAAATTAGTTCGTCTCGACTCAGACAAGAAAGTCCACCCAAAGTTGAGAAGTACTAATTTTTTCAATTGGATATGTCGAGCAGAAGATAAACTTGGCATACCGAGCTTCAGTCTAAAATATTAGTCTAACAAAGGATTGCAAACCATGCCAGGTAAAACTCAATTTTAGTTTGTTACAGATAAACTGAACAAACAACTGGTAAATGAATAATAAAAGTAAGTTCATTTCTAAACATATGTAGAATTAATGTTTTCTTGAAATTAATTTTAATAAAAACTCACCTGAAACATCTTTTTGTATAATCTTTGAAAGAAATGTACCATAGCTTTATCTAAGTTTATTCTCCCCGTCATGTAATACCTTTCAAGATCTTCAAACATATCTTGAAATATATATGAATTTGTATCATAAATTAAGCCATAAGTCCTCAAAAACATTTCATGAAAGTCTCTCTTGGAGGTTTTAAGTAGTTCTCTAAAAAATTCTGTAATCAAATTAATTTTCAAACATTACTGATAAAATATATATATTCTAAAATGTATTACATATATAAAATGTGTAGGATGTACTTGGTATATTAATTTATTTAATATTTAAAAAAGTCAAATTGTTGATTATATCAATAATGCTTTCTATTACATGTAAAATTAAAAATTTGATGAAATAGCAGAAAATTATTAAGATAAACATGAAAGATCAATAAATTCTCTACACAAGGTTAATTTAAAGAGAAAATTTTGGAATAATGTATAATGTTTTTAAAAGTCCAAACCAGCTTTCTTTAAGAACTTTTTAAACTGTTTAAATTTGTGCCCCTGAAAATGAATTTTATCAATACAAAAGTGCCAAGGAATGTAGGATTTATTAATATTACCTCAATAAAGTAGGCTTTCTATAAATTTTGAAAAAATTTGGAATGTTTGTTGATTTTATTGTCCAAATCAACTGTAATAGAACAAAAAACTCCAGCCTTTAATCAAATCATATCAATATAATTGAGACCATATATTGTTTTTGTTAAACATATGAAATTATCATAAATATAAAGTTTACTTATATATATATCAGCCAAAAAATATCATATTGAGAGATACATACATTATATGTAGTTTGGATGTCAAAAACTAAAAGACAATCTATGAGAAAAATATTAAACAGGAGTTGCCTGTATAACAGATAGTAACAGAATTGAATTATTATTAAACCAAATCATTTCTAAATCTTACAAATTCAAAAAATTGTAAAAGTAATTTCATAAATTACTAGTAAGTTAATTTCCACACATTTTTAGTTGTCTCAAACAATCTTCTTTGCAACAGAAAGAAACAAATGTCAACTTAATTAAAGAAGACTTTCCAGCATTTGTTCTTCTTTGTAAATTGAAATTTGTTTATTTCTGTCCCAAAGAAGGTTGTTTAAGATGACCAAAAACATTTGAGAATTAAAACTGTACTGCATTTCAGACATCTGAGTAGTAGTATTAATGTACTATGATATAAACTTTAGAAAATTACAATAAATTTCTAATTCAAAAACTTTATTGATTATAGAATGCTATCACTCAAAAACTGGGTATACTTGAATTAATAACACTAAAAAAAACCTAACATTTAGCAGAGTAAAAGAAATAAGTGCTAATGTTTTTGCAAGTGTCAAATGGGCATCATCAGGCAAACTAATCTCCTAGCTGCTGAAACAATGGAGAAATTAGTTTGCCCAATGATGTCCTTTCAACACAGGCAAGAATGTTAGGCACTTATTTCTTTTACTCAGCTAGCTATTAAGTTTTTAGTGGATTTAATTTATTGATTATTGACCATTAATTTGTATTATGGTACGCTCTTGCTAATCCAACCCTTAATAATCTGACCTCTCATTTATCTGGTAAACCAACCCTAGTGTGATGAATTATACACTTCCATTTCCACAAAAATGTTAATCGTGTCAAGTCTTTTTTCTCTGTTTACTTGGGCTTCATTTATGTACAGTATTGTACATTGGTGAACCATATTATTTGCCTGCCAATCTCCAAGAAGAATTGGTACCGAAGAGTACAAATTCTTCTTGGAGCTTATGGGTTACACTTGGTAATCTGGCACTCCCACAAATCTGGTATCCATCTGAGCAAGGAATGGAAGGATTAGCAAGAGTATAGTGTATTTTCTTTATCTTTATGTAAAACGTCAATAAAGTCAAAGATTTGTACAACTTATCTTGGCTAAAATAAACTAAATGATACAATAGAAAAAGATATATTTATATATACTATTCTATTTTATTACATAATACAAAATAAAAAATAGAAATGCATAGATACAACAGAAAATCAAAAATTCAAATCCTCACCATCAACTTCATATGTCTGTTCAATAAATAAATTCTTCAGTTTTGTGATAATTTTCTTGAATTTTTGGTCAAATTTGATTCGAGCTAACGTAGCAAGTTTGTATTCCATGTTATTTGTACAGCAACTTAATTCCTGAGTGCATATTTTCAGCTGATAACCTATGACAATAAAATATATTAAGTGCAATTTATTTTTTTTAAAACAATTTCTAAGCTAAAAATATTTTTTAGTACAATATCAAATCAACCTTTATCTATCAGTTTTTTCTGTAGTTTAAAAAATAAAACATTTTTAATTACACAAATGATGAAACAATAAATATGAAGAACACAAAATCATTCTTTATACTTGATATTCTGACAAAAATTAATTGTAGAGTCTCAAACGTTCAATATAATTCCCGATAATAAATTTTAATGTTTTCTAATTTATAATTACTGATGGTCAGATGCCCGAGCGACTAAGTTGGCAGCCTACCGCTCTGGGGAACCTGAATTGAATCAAAAAATTCCAGGACTTTTTCAGATAAGCCCCATTCGTCACCATCCAGCCACCTGTTGCAGGCATAGCCGAATCTGTAATGGGCTTGCTAAAAAGGCCCTCTTAGTGACTCTAAAGGCTCTAAGACTAATCTGTAACTACATTTTAAAAAGCATTTATCTTCTGAATATAATGCTTAATCTAAACTATAATTACATCAATTTTATGTTGTATCAGAGCAGATTTTTCATTCTTCAATAAAATAGAAATTTATGATGTTATAGTATATCAAAAATTGGATATATACTATCACATTGGGAGTTTTTAATTAATAATGGCTTTTCCAAACTCTTACAAAACATTCAAAGCTTCCTGAAATACAACTTCTATCTTATCATTAGGAATTACTTAGATTTTTTTCAAAATTCAGTTTCTTTCAATCTCTGCATCTCGAAAAAAACATTACTTAAGTTTCGTTTCAATAAAAAAAACTATGCGTAAGAGTGCAAATAACTTTAGACACACTTTTCATGTAATGCTGTAGAGATGAAGGGGTGAGAGGCTAGGATGTTTTGGCAGAAAAATATCCAGGCAGCTGAGATAGTAAGCCTGAGAGTTGGATTTGTTAAGTTAATTATGGTGTATCTACTTGTATTTAGAGATTAAAGGTGATTTCTAAAATATTGAACTTGACTGTTGAGACGACAAACATCACATGGTGACAGGGTGAAGAGAGAAGGCAACTAACACAATGAACAACATGCTCTACACCAGATTTCTGTGTCTGACAATTTATGTTCAGAGTATGTGATTGAGAGTGATGGAACCTCCACTTCCAGAGGTTTCGTTCAGTCAGTTGTTTATCTGCCAGGCTGGATTCGGAACAGATTAATTCTCTTATCTATTTAATAGGACCATAGGCGGAACAAGTGTTTCATTCTTAAGTAAATATAAAATATAAATCACAGCTGATGGTATTACATTTAATTATTTTACAGTTACAAGTATAAACAAAATATAAAATTCCAACGTTTAACAAAGACAGATGATAAACAAAAGCAAAATATTTTCTTTGTTAAACGTTGCAATTTTATATTTTGTTTATACTTTTAAGTGTAAAATAATTATGTGTTTCATTTGTTTAAACTTACTAATGTCGAGGAGGCAAGTTTCCTAACAGTATTATCAACTTAAATTCATTAAAAATCTACTAATGTGAGGTAGATAATAAGGATTTATCACACCAGTTTTAATAAGCACAAACACCCAGGTATCAATAAAGTACACTTAATAAAACAAAAAGGGGTGTACTACATTAAAATCAATTACATGAGTAATTAACATGAAATAACCAAAATGCATTTCAGACTATCGGAATAGTCCCTCTTCACTTGGTAAGAGTACCTCACATTAGTAGATTTTTAATTAATTTAATTATACCAAGGGCTAAAAGCAATTTCTTTATATTAAGTATTACCAAAGTTTTGAAATCACTGTGCCTTCAAAGAATGTTATATATGAGTGATACTGCTTCCACACTTGTAAACAGGAGGAGGGGGAAAGTGTAGAAGATTCTGTGATAGATCTGCATTCAAGAGTTCAAAATTGCAATTTCCTGATTTTGTTGATTAGGCTACGTGGAATCAACTTATGAGAGGTACTGCAGATAAAAACCTAAAAGTAGCCTGATGTAATCTGGTGGTTGTTTGGCTTTACAAATTTATCGGGTTTTGTGTTTGTTTATGGATAAAAATCTCTTGGAGAAACTACAGTTAGATCTATCTCTTACACTAAAGAATGCCCATGACAACTACTCGTCAGGTGAAAGTTGAACAACAAGGAAAAAACAACAGGAAGCTCTTCGAGGTATGTCAAGTATTGTGAATGCTATAAAGCCTAAGTAGCAGGCAGCCTAAACATAAGGTTGAGGGGGGGGAAATGAGTGGTAAAAAGCTATGTACATACAAAGAAGTTGTGTTGTGTAAATGATGCAGCCATACAAAAGTGAATGAAAAAGCAAAGTATTCAGCAAGAGATACAACATGTTGTAAATGCAAGCATAAAGGACATTACGCTAGTGTGTGTCTCTGGAGAAAAATGAAAAATGATGGATACTTATGATAAGGTTCTGAAGAATTTAGTGGGAGAAGTGCATGATTGGAATAACACAGAGATATGGCAGACTAAGGTGAAAATTCTGAATAAGACTGTTACAGTAAAGGTGGATACTGGAACTGATGTGAGTGTTCTGCCAGAGACTACATATAAAAATCTGTTTTTCCGGAAAGGAATAAGACAACCTAATAAACCCGTACCTACATTTGTTTAATGTACATATGGGTGGAACAAACTGAGTATAACTGGAATAATCTCAGTCAAAGTAAGTGCAAAGAATAAAACTGTGACAGAAGCCTTCTTTGTTATATCTGAGGCTAAGTAAGTTCTATTAAGTTACCATGCTTCAGAGAAACTCAGACTTGTTTAATGGTTATATGTGGTTACATCCCAAGATAGAATATTTGAATAATACAAGAAATTTTCAATATAATTTATTGGTCTGGGTAATACTAAGCAAATGTATGATATCAAATTAAAGTAAGCAGTGCCATATGCCATTATGATGATGTCATAATTTATGGTGGTAATATGCAGGAAAATGATAAATGTCTTGAAGCAGTGGTACAGAAAATGTAGAGTGCAGCTTAGGTAAATCCACTATTGCCTGAAAATGTACAGAAAATGTTGTACGGCTTAGGTAAATCCACTATTGCCTGAATTAATTTTTTATTAGGAACAATTCGTTCCTAATAAAAAATTAATTCAGGCAATAGTGGATTTACCTAAGCCATACAACACATCTGACCTGAAAAGATTTTTGGGTACAGTAAATTTTCTAGCTAAGTTTGTGCCAAATTTAGCAACTGTGTCTCAGCCTCTTTATGAACTGTTGCAAAAATACATGGAGTGAATGACACCCAGGATGGGGCATTTACAAAAATTAAGGAAATGTCAAAGCCTCCTGTCTTAGCACTATATAATGTATCCAAGGAAACAAACATATCAGTTGATGCTTCTTCAATGGCAAAAACAGTGTACTTTTACAGAAACAAGAAAATGGAGAATACAGGCCCATAGAATATGCTTCAAGGAACTTGTCTTCCAGTGATAGATGCTATGCGTGACCAAAGGGTTGGTGATACCTACATCAGGATTGGCAATAGCAATTTGTTCATTTCACATGTGAGAAGTCGCGTGTGTGAGCGGTCAGATTTGGGAGGTTGACATCTGAGAGACAATGCGCAGAAAGAAGTGCACATTACAACTTAATTATAAAGAAATAATATCCATTTATTCTGGTAAACTATTTACACATATGTTTACAATAACATTCTGTTTAACTTTTATATAGTGGCAAAATAGATGAGTTCTAGTAGCGTAACATACTGGATAAGAGTAATATAACAGAATTAATTAGGCCCAATACTAAGTTAACGAGTTCCTAGCTTAGAGAGAAAGCTTACATTTTAACATGTGATGCTAAATATCTTGATTGGTCCTTGATCGAAGTCTTGAGGTTGCAAAATGTCCTGATGATGGAGTGGAGAGGTTTCAGCTACGTTGGATAGAGTTAGGCTCATTGATGGTAAGTTCACTATCAAATGGTATTTTTGTTAAGACATATACGACAAACAGCAGTCGAAGGGATCAGTGAAAGGGCAGAGCACTCACATGAAAAGGAGGAGGTTGACAAATTCTTGTTGTTGGCTTCGATGTTCACCTTTTATTTCGGGGGTCCTCCCCCTTGATTTTGATGCCCTTTTTAGGCAATGTTAAGTTTTTTTATCAATAGATGAATTTCAAAAGAAAGTTCCTGGTAACATATAACATTCGGAAGATGTGTCACCTTTGGAAAGGAAGTAAATCTGGGGAAAGATGAGATCACATCCTTCCATTTTTTTATTAAGTGTTGGGAAAATTTTTCTTTATATAATATGAGAAATTCAAGTGTTATTCTTAATTAATTTGATATATTTTGTTGTGGTTAATTAAAATTTTCCTCTCATCCTGTCTCACACTATGCATAGATCAAAAAGGAAGCTTTGACCACAGCATGGTCTTGTGATAGATTCTCAAATTTTATTGTAGGAAAAACCATATCTATAGAGACTGACCTTCAACCTCAGACAAAAAGATTTGGATAGTCTAATACCTAGACTATAAAGGATCAGCTTGCATTTGATGTGATACCAATATGTTATACAATACTCAAAGTAAAGAATTAATAGTCACAGACACTGTGTCGACCCAGCGAAAGCAGTCGAAGAGAATGAATTAGCAGAAGAGATATCTGCATATATACAGCATGTCATGTCTTCAATTCTCACATCTGACAAAAAAACTAGCTGAAATTATCAGCATGCAGGCCACTGATCCAGTTTGCTGAGAAATAACGAAGTACTCAATGCTAGGACGGCCTTTGAAATTTAATCATCTCACAAGAAGTAATACTGTATTGGGAACCTAGGAATGCTATATCCTATGTAAGGCATCCATCTCCATTCTTAAGATTAATGAAGAACAGATGGAGGGACATACAGATGGACATTAATACATTAATACTATTAAATGTAACTGTTACTATTAAATGAGCCTTATAAATGCTTTTCTCTCTTA